TACTACAGAGTAGATGAATATAGACAAACTCATACATATTATTCAGAATGGCAATCACACTACTGATACTACTACAGTACACATAATGCTACTACTGGTGATACTGCTAATGCGCATAAGGTGCTACTACTGATACTGATGAACAGAACATGCATACTAATATCAATCAGAACGCGATGTATGATAACAGTGGCAATCCTAGTGAACATGGTATTACGCACAGTACTAATACTTCTACACATAATAATAACTTAATATTAATATTGCTACGCGTTGTTCTAATACAACTAGAACTGCTACTAATACTGCTCAGCTCCGGATCGCACGACCAAGAGTGCCACTACTAGGAGAAGGAGGCGGAGGAGGAGGAGGAGGAGGAGGAGGAGGAGGGGGGGAGGAGGGGAGGAGGAGGAGGAACAGGAGCGAGGAGGGGGAAGAGGAGGATGAGGAGGAGGAGGAGGCGAGGAGGAGGAGGGAGGAGAAAGAGAGAGGAGGAGGAGGAGGAGGAGGAGGAGGAGGAGGAGGAGGAGGAGAGGGAGGAGGAGGAGCGAGGAAGAGGAACGAGGAGGGTGGAGCGAGGAGGAGGGGAGGAGGAGGAGGAGGAGGAGGAGGAGGAGAGCGGGGCCGAGAAGCGAGGAGGAGGAGGAGGAGGAGGAGGAGGAGGAGGAGGAGGAGAGGTGGTGGAGGAGGGAGGAGGAGGAGGAATGGAGAGAAAGGGAGGGAGGGGGGAGGGAGGGAGGGAGTGAGGGAGGAGGGAGGGAGGCAGGGGGGAGGGAGGAGGGAGGGAGGAGGAGGAGGAGGAGGAGGAGGAGGAGGAGGAGGAGGAGCGAGGGAGAGGAGGAGGAGGAGGAGGAGGGGAAGAGGAGGAGGAGGAGGAGGAGGAGGAGGAGGAGGAGGAGGAGGAGGAGGAGGAGGAGGAGGAGGAGGAGGAGAAGGTGAGCGAGGAGGAGGAGGAGGAGGAGGAGGAGGAGGATGAGGAGGAGGAGGAGGAGGAGGAGGAGGAGGAGGAGCGAGTAGGACTTTCCCAAGGGCTTTCACAATCTAACTAGGTCAGAGCTGCAGGAGGACTTCAAAGAGTGGCCTCTGGCTGGGCCTAAGTGGGCGGGCCCCCCTCCCCAGGCCTGCAGGGTCCCGCCAAGCGGGCAAGCCAGGCCCAGGGGGGGAAACACGCCGACTTGGCACCACGGCCGCCCTATCTGAGGGGGCGGCCGTTCCTGACACGTTATAAAACCTAGGCTCCCATCTTCGACGGGGGTTGCCCGTCTTGACACTTACACTCCTCCGCGAGGCCTCTAAGATGGTGGATCGAGGCATTGTTTCTTTTTTGGGGGGGGGCAGGGGGGAGGGAGGAGGAGAAGGGAGGGGGTTCGATGGTCAAGGCTTTCGGCTTTCTAGTCCCCCATATTCAACGTGGGTTTCTCGTTATCAGTGTCTCCTGTCTGCACCCTCCCTCACCTCGTGCGCTCGTGCCTCCCAAACTTATGTCGACCATGGGGTTTTGCACTGGCCCGCTCGCGCCCAGTGTGGTGGCGGCAACGACCGCCGGCCCAACCCCTCGTGCGCGCGCCGAGGCGCGCAAGGCACGCAGACCGCCACCCTGCCCACCGGCCGCTGGCCCGCCCCCTGAAATAGCACAGCCGCTACCACCCCTGAGCTGCCTTTGCCACGCGCGGGAACACGGGGCAGCATCTCGCATCCCTTCGCTCTCGCTTGTCATTGGGAAGCAGACGCGCCTCGGTGCAGAAACACCACTGCTGGAATGCAGCAGGCGCGGCGCTTGAGCCACCCGGTGCAGTTCGACGGGGGGTGATGCACGGGGGGGGCGGTGCTGACGGTCCGAGGTTTGGGGAGGAGGAGGAGGAAGAGGAAGAGGAGAAGGATGAGGAGGAGGAGGAGGAGGAGGAGGAGGAGGAGCGAGGGCCGAGAAGCGAGGAGGGAGGAGGAGGAGGAGGAGGAGGAGGAGGAGGAGGAGGAAGGTGAGGAGGAGGAGGAGGAGAAAGATGTGGGGCGGAGGCCACGGGCCCGCTCGTGCCCAGAGTGAGGGGACCTCTCCGGGAGGGCGCCCGTGGTCGAGTGCGGATGCGTTCCTGCTCAGAGCCCCGGTGCAGCAGGGGCGCCGCCGGCGCGCCCGCCGCGGCCAGCGCGGCGCGGCGGCGCTCGGCCGAGCGCGGCCGCGCGGCCGACGACGACGACGCCGACGACGACGACGACGACGCCGACGACGACGACGACGACGACGACGACGACGACGACGACGACGACGACGACGACACCGACGACGACGATGACGACGACGACGATGCGATCACCGCGATGCAGCAGGCATGGCGCTTGAGCCATCCAAGGGGTCGCGGCGGGGTTCCTTTGGAAGCGCCGCGCCGTGCAGCCAGGAGGAGTTTGCAGCTTCGGGGGAGCAGGCGGAGAGGAAGTGCAAGGAGAAATGCCCGCGCCGCCCTAGCGAAACGAAACGTCTGGCGGTGCGACGAAGGAATAAGGGAGG